TCACATCTGCTTGTCAAATTTATCACAGGAAAGATCGCATTCAGCTCGACAATAAGGCCGTCGACAGTTTTCTGAGGCGGTTGGTTGAACGCTTCCCACCGCATTAAATAAGTAGGACAGTTCAGAAATTTTGTTTTATTTTGGAAAAACATTCAAATCTAAAAACTAGATCATACAGATAAATTTAAAGTACATTGGCGCCTCTCTAGTGAACAATTTGACTCGCCAGCGCCAAACCTAGCATGTTTATAATGCGTTTGTAAAGGTTTGAATGCTAATAAATTAGAACGCAGGCATCCCAAGAAATATAATTTGAAATCAAATAGTTCTTTGGGAAAGAGAGAAAGCTTTATTGAGTAAATGTCTGACGTCGTTTCCCCTTGTGGTTGTCAGACTAGAGTAGATGTGCAGAAAACAATTAAAATTTCAAACGTGCTACAAAATCGATACTCATTTGGTGATTCAGCCAGTAAGCTGCCGTCGTATGCGTCAGTCCGTATTGATCGTCTTTCGTCTCTTCCACTTTTCTCTGAGATTTTTGTACGTGGCATCTAACTCTATAGGCTTGTTGATGCATGACTCGTCGGAGTGCATGGCTTCAGGAAACTCTCAGCCCTTTTTAGATGGGCAAACTTCGCAGATGCGAGTTTTGTCCCATGCAAAAGTGTGCCCAGTATCTAAGGTGTGCATGGCCATTTGAGACCGTTGTTCTCGCCTCCTAACTGCAAGTTGATGTTCGTGGATGCGTGTAGAGGCAAATTCTCTCGTTTGGCCACAATGCACGGCATCGCAGGCGTCGCATGGGATCTTATAGACGACTTCTTTTCTATCGAGGTAGCCACCCATATCCTTAGGGTGTACAAGCTGTGTGCGTAAAATAGTCGTGGGCTTGTGCTAGGGTTCATAAACTTGTACCCCTTCGCGTGGGCAGAAAGCCTACTAAAGATCAACAACGCGCTCCGGGCCACAAGGTTTAATTATTAAACATCAAACTTTGATCATGCAATTGTGTGCGACGTTTTATGAATGGAATTTGAACATTTATATTGATACAATGTTAAAACTAAAATGTTTTTATGGGATTTGGGAGAGGCATCCACCAACTTTTTTGTCCGCATGTAACAATCCATCCTTTAATTCCTGTGGCTAAACGTAGTCTTAGGCTATTCGAAAGTTCACAAGCTAAGTGTGTCATTTGAACTTGTTCAAGTGTAATATGTCTACGTGTTATAAATGCAGATGGGGAAAAATAAAAGCAAAATAGGCGCGCATGGACATGTCTGGTTTACTTTCCAAGGTCAGCCAGTTTTATCTAACCTCAGGAATTCGGAATCTAAAAATGGAACTCGCGTTTGTTATTCACTTAACGTTCCTAAGTTATGCGCTCCTTAATTGAACCGCGATCATAAATATTAACTAGACCTAAAGGAATACAGGTGGCGTTTGTGCATTTGTGTCCTGTGACTCAGACTAGGGACCTCTCGAGAGGAAATAAACATGTCCGTAACTCGACCGGCTAACGAACCTCAAATAATATTAAGTTAATTTTGAAAAATCAGTCTCATCTCTCAGAACGGTTCGCTTTAAATTTCAGTGTCATTTCAATTACTGCGAACAAATCAACTGCTGGTTTAATTATTAAACACCCATATGTGATAGTCGTATAATCTACGACTCCTCTTGAATGGCACACTGCTAAAGCTTAAGCGTCCTGTCTAAAAGGGTTTGACGGAGGCGTCAACCTACAACCTGTGACCTATCTCCTAAAATCCTATAGACAAAACTAAGCTAAGAGTTTTTGAACGTCCCAAATTTATGCATCTTGTTTGCCAGTTCAGTCACCTCAAAGAAATTTGTCAGTGAAGGAAATGTGCCTACGCAATTTTATCAAACAAAGTGTTTCTAACGGAAGGGAAAATGGGCGATGTGATATAGTTGGACAATTATCTATATTAATATCCGTCGATTGTTGCGCATTCGAGCGCACTTATCTTTGACACGAAAGTTATTTTAATCTCTTATTTTTACTATACAGCTTTCCGCAATTGAATAATATTTTTGTTCGATGCATACCTTGGATATCAGCTTGCTGACACAGAGGCCATTTCTGGAGAACCACACGATTTATCGGTTGATAGGAGTCTGATCAGCAGGCACGTGCAATTATAACCACAGTGCTAAAACCTAAAAACGTTTTGTAAGAGTTGGAGAAGACGTCCACCTTTGTTTTTTGTCCACATGTAACAATCAATCCTTTAAGTCCTGTGGCATAACGTAGTCTTAGACCAGTTGAGGATTCATAGGTTGAGCGTGTCATTTAAACTTGTCCAAGTGTAATAGGTCTACGTGTAATAAATGCAGATGGGGAAAGATAAAAGCAAAATAGGCGCGCATGGACATGTCTAGTTTATTTTTTAACGTCAGCCAGTTTTATCTAACCTCAGGAATGCGGAATGCAAAATTTAAATTCGCGTTCTTTAGTCACCAAAGGTTACTAAGTCCAAAGCTCTGTAATTGAACTGCTGACCTGTTGTGAGGTCGGCTGCAATCAGGAATATTAATCATAGTTAAAGGAATACAGGCGGCGTTCGCGCATGCATGTCCTATGAATAAAACTAG